CCTTCCTGTGCTCACGTCCTCCCCAGCCTATACCATTTCACCAGAGTCCTTCACCACACCTGCCAGATCCTGGCTCCCTATTTCTGCCCTTGACTGCCTGTGTGGCCTTGAACAAAATATTTCACCTCTCAGAGACTTTCTGTTTCCTATAAATAATGTGGAAATGGTAACCCCTGATGATGTTGTGTAGACTAAGCAAGATGTGTATATGGACCACTATCATATATGGCTGCGGCCGGCCTTCAAAGAGAAGCAGCTACACGGTCACACCCAGGGCTCAACCTAACCTCAGACCCCTGCTTGTGGCTATCCAGTACCCATAAAGAGTACCAATGACAGGGGATGCCTTCTCCTCTGAGCCTCGGGGAGGTAAGGCCCCAAACAGAGCCAGCTTTCTGTCTATCATGCCATGTGCCAAACTCCCCACCTGCCATGTAGACAGGTTGACAGGGTCACCTAAACTATACACCAGGAGTTGGAACCAGAATTCTGCCTCAAGTCAGAGCCAATAAAGAATCTAGTGACTGCTAATGTGTTAGGGGCAGGAGGTGGGTGGATTTGAAGACCAGGAGCATCCAGAGCAGTCAACCTGCACTGCCCACTGCCCTGCTTTGTGCCCTCTGCTCCAAACTGGACAACTTGCTGTCATGGAGGAGTCCCCTTTCAAACATGCTGAGCCTTCTCCATGTCCAATGTCCCTTTCCCACCTGACTTCCTGGGTTAAATCTTCTTGATAAAGTCTTTCCTGACAGTCCCCAGGACTGGTCCCCCTTTAAACCCAGAACACTATATAAACCTTTCTTACAGCTCAGGATTCTGTTTCCCATATATGTACTTTACTCAGTCCATACCCCATTGCTCCTACTGGACCAACGCCATCCAGAGAGGAGTCCCAGGCCTGACCTGACTCCAGCCCGGGCCTGGCCCCATGTCACACCCTCCCCCTATGATAGCCAGCATCATCCATGCAGAGCACGCAGACCTTGGCAGAGGACCAGGCTCACAGGCAGACAGATGTGAGGGCAGAAGGATTTCATGACTGTTAAAATCATCTTACCTTGACATGATCAGCCCCTGAGAGCGTGAGCCCCAGGACTAGGAGGATGTGGGCGGCGTGGGGTCACATGATCTGACAGCATCCCAGGAGAATCACATAAGTGTCCCTTTAAGGATCTTGTAGATTGAAGCTCTGTACTCCTCCAGATCTCTTTACTCCCATTCCCCTGGACCTTCTTCTCTAGGTAAGGACCACCTTCTCTGGCCTGGACACAGTTAATTCAGTAGTTTGGGAAGGGTGATCCTACTGCTTTGGGTACCACCGGCTCAGGAGAAGGAATTCACCTCTGTTTATCTATTACCATCAGACACAGGAATCCTGGTATGTTGTTGTAAAATAAACACTGGACTACTGACCTTTGGTCAGCAGTTCAAACTCACCAGTGTCTCCTCAGAAACCCTATACAGGGTCACTGTGAGTCATAACCTACACCGTGGCTTTAACAACATTAAACTCAACCTGCAATGTGCAGATAGCATAACCTTGCTTGGTGGAAGAGAAGAAGACTTGAAATACTGATGAAAATCAAAGACTACAGCCTTCAGTATGGATTGTACCTCAATGTAAAGAAAACAAAAATCCTCACAACTATACCAATAAATGGAGTCCTGGTGTGGAATAATGCACTGGACTGCAAGCTCAGTTTGAGCCACAAGGTTGGCAGTTCAAACCCACCAGTTACTCCTCAAAAACTGACTCAATGGCACTTAACAACAACAACAACATGTGAATAAATGACATCATGCCAAATGGGATAGAAGCCGAAGCTGGCAAAGACTTCATTTTGCTTGGCTCCTCAGGAAACACTCATGGAAGAAGTAGTCAAGAAATCAAACGACATATTGCATTGGGCAAATATGCTGTAAAAGACGTCTTTAAAGTGCCTAAAAGCAAAGATGTCAGTTTGAGGTCTAAGGTGTGCCTAACCCAAGCCTTGGCACTTTCAATTACCTCATATGCGTGTGAAAGTTGGACAATAAATAAGGAAGATCGTAGAAGAATTGATGCATGTGAATTATGGTACTGGAAAAGAATATTGGAAGCACCATGGACTGCCAGAAGAACAAACAACTCTATCTTGGAAGAAATACAGCCAGAATGCTCCTTAGAAGGAAGCCAGGAGGGACCAGTCCCTTTACTATGTAAGGCGGAGGGTCATCATAACAGAGGAAGACCCTTAACTGGATGGGTTGACACAGTAGCAGCAAGAACATGCTCAAACATAGTAAACATGAGCTTGGCACAGGCCCAGACAGTGTTTCATTCTGCTATGCAAACAGTCACTATGAGTTGAAACTGATGCAATGGCACCAAACAAGAACAGCATCACACATGAAACCACACATTTCATACGGGCTGTTTTCTAAAATCCAAGCAACAACTCAGTGAGGTATATGGAATCCAGTGAGTTAAAGAATCTCCTGAAGTGATGACAGACAGAACTGAGATTCCAGCCCAAATGGGATTCTTGCCCAACTGTCGTGTTTTGTTATTTTTATTTGTTTTTTAAATGTCAGTCCAGTGTGCCTCCAGAGCCTTCCTCAAATGCTCCTTTGACCTTTGATTCTTGTTTCACTGTGAAGCACACCACAGATATCAAAGTAGCTTTCCAGATGCCAAACTGGTATGAACCAAGGAAAGGTGCCTCATTCCCAAGACCCTCCACTGCCATCTGCTGGTCACCTGCCATTTAAAACAAAACAAAACAGTTAAAGTCATGAGACCCCGTCCAGAGTAGAACTGTGCTCTGTAATGTTTTCAACAATTAATTTTTTGAAAGTAGATTGTTGTTGTTGTTAAGTACCGTGGAGTCGGTTCCGACTCATAGTGACCCTGTACAGGATTTCCAAGGCTGAAATCTTTATGTGAGCAGAAAGCCTCATCTTTTTTCCACGGAACCGCTGGTAGTTTCAAACTGCCGACCTTGAGGTTAACAGCCTGATTCGTAACCACTACGCTACCAGATTACCAGGCTTTTTTTCTGAGATGCCACTGGGTAGACTCGAACACCCAACCTTTGGGTTACCAGCCAGTAAACCATTAGCACCACCCAGCGACTGCACAGATCTACAGACTACAAATATGAATGGAGCCCTGGAGAAGTGCAAAGAACAACGCAGTTAGCCCTGAGAGGAAGACCCCTTCCCCCAGGCTGGCTGTATCTGCACACCCAAAATTAAGGAGTAGTTTTATTAAGCACCTCTAATGTGCCTGGTGTGGAGTGTGATGGCCTTACAGGACAAGCACTTAACTGTGAAAACCACATGGCCAGCAGTTTGAGCCTACCAGCCACTTCACAGGAGAAAGATGAGACTTCCTGTTTCCATCGAAATTTACAACCTCAGAAACCCTACACAGGGTCGCTATGAGTCAGAACCAACTCTACAGCCCATAACAGCAGCAGCATGGCTAGCAACAATTAATTTATTGAATCCTCACAGAAATTGAGTAATTCAGCTAACAGCTGGTCTGTAGCAGTCTCCTTGGTGAATGATATAACAGGGAGACTAGGACTCCCTGTATTACAAACTGAGGTGAGGAGTCAGAAATGCTGAAAACTACTATGTATCAAAATTAAATGCTTTGTGAATTTGGACGGTTTAATTATGTCAACACTGCAGAGGGGTGTGTATTTATGATCAGCCACTCCCACAGTGTGAGCTGGCAAAACAGCCAGAACCCAGGGAAGGTGGAAGGCAGGCTCTGTCCCTAAAACTTAAGGGAGCCACTGAACCCTTTGTTGCTGGGAAAATTGCCCTACCTCACTCCACTTCCTAGATCTAAGATCTCTCTATCCACTTCTTCCTGAGCTACTTCTATAAACCTCCCCAGAAGTGATGGGTACAGGTGCAGGGCAGGGCCTGTTTCTCAAGAGGTAGCAGCTCAGCAGTGGTGAAGAGCCTCACCAGCACTGAGAACAGAGTCTCCTGGACACTTAGGTGGTGAGGAAGAGCATGCAACTTCTCTGCCAGGAAAGAGAAGGCTCTGGAGTCCAGGGAAGGGAAGCCATGAGCAACAAAGGGTCATTCAGAGGCACGCAGCCAAGGTACCATGCATGGAGATATGATCACGTAGGGATTAAAGAGGTGTGGTCAGGGAGTCTATGCCCACCTTGGGGATAGTCCCGGGGTACCTCTAGGGCTCTCTCCTCAGTCTGGGCTGTGGGTGTTTATACCAGGACTGATCAGGGTCACAGCTAAGGCTGAGAGTTAGAGGACCCTGGGAAATGAGGATCAGGCATGAGTAAGTCTACAAAGCCTTGATCCAAGATGAAATTTGCCCAGGACAAAGGTAAGGTCAGATGTTTGGGCAAAGACACCAACTACCAAGACAAGGAAGGAAGCTGAGCTGCATCTCATAAAAAAAGTGGGTTTCAGGGCCTTCCAGGATGTTTTACAGAAGTGAGATTCAGGCATGTCACAGAAACAGTGGGATTCGGCACCTTATCAAAAGCAGTAAGCCAAGAATGTTGATACAGCAGCCAATTCAGCAAGTGAAAGCAAAGTCATGGAAACAGTGAGAACAGGGATGTGAACAGGGTGATGGGAGGAAGTGGTCCCTGAAGACCAGATATTCAACACGCATTGGCAGGGCCACTAGGTATATAAAGACCCTTGAAGCCATAACAGGTGAGTCGAGGGGGGAGAGGTGACCGTGTAGAACAGAGGGGTGGGGACCTGGCTGCTGTTAGACATTGTGCTCTGGGCTAGAAGACCTCTGGGATTCTGTGAATGGTTTCCAGAGATCAATCTAGCAAACTTCCTGTTCTCATGCACCTTCCCAACCTCCACTTCCAGTGCTACGTGAAATAAAACCCTGCTCTGCCTCTCAGTCCACAGAAGGCTTCAATAGGACCTCCCACCCCAGGTGAAGTTGCACACTTCCTGGACAATACTGTGGCAAGGAGTAACTAGGAACATTTCCCCATTCTTCTTCCCCTTAGTACTGATCGGCGTGGGCACTGAGACCTTCCTCCAGGGACAGTTCCCAAGTCTGGCTTTCTATCTGCTGTGAGTATGATCCTAGTGTGCCCTTTCTGCCTCTGGTATCTGTTTCTGCCAGCCTGCATCTGAGTTTTCAGAACAGACCAGAAGAACACCCCCACCTACACACACACACACCTTTCTCTTGCTAATTCCATCTGATCACAGAGGTAGGAGTTGAATGAAGGGTCTTCAAAAATAGTCCCTGGTCTGAACTGGATTTTAGTGAAATCATCTCTAAATAATTTTCCTTTCTCTGCCCACTCATGCATCTATCCATTTACCCATATAGCCAGTCTTTTTTCCATCAATCCAGCTAATTGTCCATCAATTTATCCATCTATCTATCGAATCATCCATATATACATTTACATATTAATTTATCCATCCATCCATTTGCCCTTCCTTCCATCCATATATATTCTTTTACCTATAGATCAACCCACCCATTAATGAATTTGACCCAATTCTATCCATCAATCCATCTATTCCTTCAATTATTTCTTTATTGAGTAAACATTAACTGAGCTCTTGTTTAGAGATAAGGAAATCACATCAGAGTAATACATATTTGCTTTCCTCTACATGCCAAGCACCCTACTTATTCAGACTGTATGCTGAGCCAATAATCTGAGAAGCTGGATTATATGAAGATGAATTTAGCATCAGGATTGGAGGAAGACTCATTAACAACCTGTGATATGCACTGACTTGAAGGCACCTAACAACAAGAACACCACCACATGCCAATCACAGTTAAATATTGTAATTACATTGCATGATTTAACCCCCACAGCCGCCATATGAGAAGTACATGCTGTCCACATTTTACAAATCGGAACATTCAGAAAACTTCTCAGACCACATCACAGAGCACATGAGCAGTAAGGCCAGATTGAGACCAGGTCCCTCGTATCCCTCGTATCCGCAGTTAGGCCTTTTCTTCTCTACCTGCAGAACATTCCCTGTAGTAAGGAGCCAGAGTGTCCCACAGAAGTGAGGAAAGCCTGGGTCTCTGCAGACTCTGACCTGGCATCTCAGCTGCCCTCTCCTAAGGGCCATGCAGCTAACAGTAGTTTCTTCCTGGCAACGCATGAAGCCTATGCTCTCCAGACCCTCTGAACTAAAAGGTGGTGGGTGAGGACAGGCCACGCAGGTAGTAGAAGTCCTCATCTGTTATGGATAGTACTGAGAGGTCCACACATCTCTGCAGTACCAGGAAGCCGCATTCTCCCATCTTGCCCTTCTCTCACCCTCTGCATCCTCCTTCTTCATGGTCTTCCTAGTCTGGATGCTCAAAAGCCCCCAAGTTTGCAGCCTTCCTCCCCTCCTGCCTTCGTGCCGGCTCTTCAGTTTGCTTTGCCTGGATCTCACCTACAATTTCCCAACCAGTTTTCTCCATTCTAACGACTTTCCACACTGCTGGAGAATGTTGTTGTTATTGGCTATCAAGTGGCCACCAGGTTGTGGGACTCTGTGTCTAATAGGGTGAAACATTGCCCTCTCCTGTGTTGTCTTCATTGAGTCCATGGTTGAAGATAATGTGTCAATGCATCTCATGAAGGCTTCCCCTCATTTTCCTTTGCCCGCTACTTTACCAAACATGATGTCCTTTTCTAGCAGTTGATCTTTCTTGATGATATGCCTGTATCAGACAATATTCTGAGGTGATCCGTAGAAGTTTTCATTGGCTAATATTCAGAAGTAGATCGCCAGGCCTTTCTTCCTAGTCTTTCTTAGTCTGGAAGCTCCACTGAAGCCTGTCCATCATGGGTGACCTTGCTGGGGTTTGAAAAACTAGTGGCATAGCTTCCAATACTATAGGGACATGAAGCTTCCACATTATAACAAACTGACAGACCAGGAAGCCACAAAACTCACCTTCTAGAAATTCTGATCTCTCATAATCTTCAGGGGCCCCCACTGTCTCTGGCCCACACTCCTCTGTCAGCTCCTGCTCTTGACCCTTCTATCAAACACCCACATCACGTGGTATCTAAGGCTTTGCTCACACTGCTGATTCTGCCGAGTGTATTTCGGCAGCCCTGGTGGCACAGCAGCCAAGCTACTAAATGAGAGGTCAGCTGTTTGAACCTGCCCAGTCACTCCAAGAAAGAAAGACGTGGAAATTGGCTTCCAAAAAGATTGTTGTTGCTGTTGTTCAGTGCCATCGAGTAGGTTCCGACTAAGAGTAACCCTATAGATAAATGATAACCCTATGGAGCATTTCTGCATTGTCTGACAGGATCTCTGAGTCAGAATCCACTAAATGGCAATGAGTTTACAAGGCCCCACATCCACTTCTCTAATTCCACCGTGGGAAACCTGTCCCAAGTCTTGGAGTTCTGCTGGATGGAAGAAATCCCTCCTCACTCTGGCCTTCTTGGCCTCGTTCCCCTGTCCCCACTCCCTGTCCACTGTCTCCCTAGTGTCTGGAAGCAGTCCAGAGCCTTCCTCCTTTCCACATGATTGCTAATATACTCCCAAACATTATGTTGGCTAAGAGGTGATGAGTTATTATCCTAGTGTAACAAGTAGGTCCCCTGAGGAGTTAATGCAGAATACTTTCTGCCCAAGGCCCTTCTTCTTCCTGAGTGTTCTGCCCCTTTCTTGAGGAGACAGAGGAGTCATTACGTCAATCTGGTCACTCTATGGTCCAGTCCCACATGACAATATTTCCAGTCTTGGATCGCCTACCCCTCACCATCTCCAGCAATGATCTTCTCTACAGTCCCCTCTGGGGTAGGCACCCACTGACCACTCCCTGTCCACTGACTACCCCACTCATTCTTCAAAGTCCATCTAAACACCAGCCTTTCTCATTTCACTCTTCTAATGCTGCCCAACCTTCCCCACAACACACATCATCTCCCCTGGGTGCTCTGGCCAAATCATTGGCAGCACATCTCCCTGAACAAACATCCCCGGCACCATGCCGGTCCAGGGCCAAGAAAAGCACCACCGGAGTGAATTTTAATTGCCTTTCCCTGTTTTCATCTCTACTTCTGCTTTCTATACTTCCTTCTTTTCTGTTTCCTGCTTTCTTCCAATAAGGCCTTCATGGCCTTCTTCAAACTCACCTGCAAGCAATGGAAAGGATGAGTCAACCCAGTGGATACGAGCATGGAGCTTACCAAGGCAGGGCCTGTGCTTGTACTTGTTTGTCTATTGGGAACACCTGGATTCCCCGAGCCCCAGGGGGCACAGAAGCTGTAGCGCCAGACGGACATCTGAATGAGCCTTTTGATTTCCCCAGCTCAATTTCTGCTTCTGTCCCCAAACCTAGAAAAAGGTAATGCCAATTGATTTATAAAGCACACAGCTTTGTGCACCTGGTGGACACACAGATCTGGAGCCCAAGTGCTAGATAAAAATGCTGGTTGTGCTCCTGCTCAGTTGTGACTATAGGCAAGAGATTTAATGTCTCTGTGTCTAAGGTTTCCACTGTAAAATGGGGGTAATTGTGCTACTCACAAAATTGTTACAAGGATTGTTGTTGTTAAGTGCCATCAAGTCGGTCCCAACTCATAAGAGGGTTTTCAAGGAGTAGCAGGTGTATTTGAACCTCTGACCTTGCCGTTCAAATCGACCTGGTGGTCTAGTTGTTTATCATACTGCGTCATACCAGGACTGTTGTTAAGGATTAATTAAGGAGCTTTGGTAGTGTAGTGGCTACAAGTCGGGGCTGCTAACCTCAAGGTCAGCAGTTCGAAACTACCAGCTTTTCCATGGAAGAAAGACAAGGCTTTCTGCTCCTGTAAAGCTTTACAGCCTTGAAAACCCTATGCAGGGTCGCTCTAAGTTGGAACCGACCCCACAGAACATCACCACCACCAGCAAGAATTAACTGAGTTGATATTTTTAAATCCCTTAAAGCCATCCTTGGCACATAGTACTCATTGTATAAAGAGTGTTGTATGCCAGCAAGTTGTTAAGTGCTGTCAAGTAGGTTCCGACCCATAACGACCCTGTATAGGGTTTTACAAGGAGTGACTGGTGAGCTTGAACTGCCAACCTTGTGGTTTAAACTGACATTGCAGGCCAGTGTTTCAACCCACAGCAAATAGAATTTCCCACTAGGATTTCGTAGGTTGTGATCTTTAGAGGGATAGTTTTAAGTCTTTACTTCTGCAGAGTGGCTTGTGGTCTTAAAATGCCAGGTATTTAGTTAGCAAACACTTTACGACTGCATCACAAGGGATTCGTTATTCTCAGTTTTCAAGTCCTGATAGCGCTGTAGCATAAGCACTGGACTGCTAACCACAAGGTCGGCAGTTCAAAACCACGAGCTGCTTCTTTGAAACCCTAGACAGGGTCACTATGAGTAGGAACCAACTCGACAGCACTTAACAACCACAATTATCTTATGTCCAGCTGAGGGGTAAGAACTCAGAGGCACTGGTTCAGTGGTAAAATCCTTGCCTTCCATGTGGGAGAACCGGCCAATGCTTGTCATGCATAGCCACCACACATCCATTGGGGAAAGCTTGCACATAGCTGAATAGGTGTAAGTAAAGCTTCTAGACTAAGATGAACTAAGAAGAAAGACCTGAGAATCGACTTTTGAAAATCATCCAATAAAAACCCTATGGACCACCATCCCTCAGGACCAGGCAGTTTTGTTTCAATGTGCGTGACTCAATGGCAGCTAAGAATAAGAATTTAAGCAAATACGAATTTGACACACACTGGGATGCATACAGACAGTGGCAGAAAGTAGAAAATTAAGTACTAAATGGTCACAGAGACAGCAGTAGATGTCCATGGCCCTGGGAAATCCTGCTCTTGTCTGAGTAACCTTGTCCCAGCCTGAGCATTTCTGAGCGACATCTACCCTCATGACTCTCTTCACTACAATGCACAACCACGGAGCTGGGCCTGGCTGCAAGGGGAGCTCCCTATAGGAGTTCACAGTCTGGTGAACTCTGGTTATATTGAACAACACAGGGAATGGGAGGACACCAGGCAGACGAGAGCAAGAAGACGATGCCATGGATTGAATCGTGTCTCTCCAACATGTGTGTCAACTTGTCTAGGCCATAATTCTCATTGGTTTGAATTATGATAAAGAGGAAGAAAAGGGCTAGAAGTATAAAGCAGCTTTAAGGTTTGCATAAGCAGGCAGCAGGTCAGTCCTGGTACCCAAAAGGCAGAGGGATGTGCCCTGCCAGGGTCAGGGTGGTCTCCCCTAGTCAACAGAAACTTCCTCCTGATCTATCTCTGAGCCTCGTACCCTTCCCCTCCACATTGCACCCAGCCTGGGACCTGGTGCTGGATGGAGGAGGACCCCATACTAAGAAATCGTGTTAGTAGTTGGATGCAGATGCCAGGAAGCCAAGAAAGCTGTAAGGAGACAGCTATGTGAGGGTCCAAAGGATATCCAAGTTTCCTTCACCTGTTTGTACCCTCAGGTTTACAGGAGCCGCCATCTCTGTGTGTGAAGGTGCCTACTTCATGGCTCAGCTTCTCGCCACCTGCTTCCAGTAAGTTCTCCCAGAGCAGTTTCTCCTCCATCACCCACCCCCAGATGGAGGTAAGCCTATGAGACTTTGGTCCAGGCAACATCCTGTTCTGACACCAGTGTCCCCTTCCTGACCCACAGATTTGCTGTCAGAGTAAGCCAGGTCAACTCTGTCCCAACTTCCCAACTGACATCTTTGCTCGGGACCTGCTTCCATTCTCAGTCCCTGGTATAAGCCCAATGCCCACCAAAAAACCAGCCAGTTACTGAGCCCAATGCCTGCCATCTACAAGCAAGGGAAGGAGCCCACAGAGGGCCTGGCTAGGGTGAGAAGAGCTGGGTTGCTGTCACCTGCAAGTGCCACAAAAGTTCAGGAATTGCAACTCCATGCCTCATTCAAGGATAGGAGTGCCCATCTTTCATACGATGGAGGCCCCAAACCTGCCACATAACCAAGCAAAATAAATGGACTCTATCATCATTGTTGCCAAGGGTTCTTGGAAGCTACACAGAATATTACCAGGTGGTGGGCGAGAGAGCCAGGCCTCAAACCCAGCTGTCCTAGCTTCCAAGAACACTAGCCCTGAGGCAAAAGCCTCTCCCATCTCTTTTGCCTGCCTGCTTTTGCCAAGGAGTCCATGTGTCCTCCCAAGGGCATGGAGAGGAAGGAGTCCTTGTACTCCAATCTGAAATCTGACCAGTTGGTGCTGACTTGTGACAAGGTGTGAAACAAGGTGTGAAACAGCCCTTGCCTGAGGCTTCTGAGCTCCCTGTTAACCTGCTCACCTCCAGCACCCTCTGCAAAGTTAGCCTGACAAAGCCAGGGTGCCGCCTTTAGGATAGTACAGAGGAGGCCCACCCTCCAGAAACCTACTTGCTGTCAGGTCTTGGAGCCAGTTAGAGAGCCGTGATCCCAGGCTGGAGACAAGGCTGGGTCTCAGCCCCCTGCTCACCCACCTAGTAAGCACCTCTCCTAGACTGCACCCCTCCCAGTGTAGGACTCCTGAATACCTTGCACATCATCACTGGTCTGGCGTATTTCCTACTGATTGCTATACTCCATACCATCTCACTCCACGGCAGGGTCCAAGATGAGCCTGATCCCATTCTCCTGTCCACTGTCTAGGGCAGGTACGAGAACATTCACCTTCCTTCCTCCTAGATCAGGTGGGCTTTCAGGAACGCATGCTTCCTCTGGAGGAGTTCAGGCTAGACCCCTAGACCCCTAGACCCCTAGCTATGGTATCCATTGTGATAACCACAACTCCAGCCCTGGGAGCCACCTAAGAGGGTATCACCACGGCGGAGCTCAGCCCCAGCCACTCACAGCCTCCTTGGGGAGCCGGAGCTGAGCTGGGGGCAGAAGCAGTCTCTGGTATCTTAGGACGTTTCTGAAAATGCCAACTGGAAGTTAACCCTGGAACTTCCTTCCTCAGGTGTCAGCCAGGCTCCCTGGCCTACAGGGTAAGGGAGAAGGCCTGCTGGTTGGGCTGCTTCCAGAAGTTCCTGGCCTACCTGCTGCTGTCTGTGGCCTGCTTCCTCCACCCAGTCCTAGTCTGGCATGTAACCATCCCAGGTATGGACACTGGAAGGTCATGGAGGCAGGAAGCCTGAGTGGACAACTCTGGTCTAAGTTCCCTGGTCTTGAACATGGAGACAAGGAGCCATCAGGTACCCTCCAACCTGACCAAGTGGCAGGGACACCACAAGAAGGATCATCCTTTGTGGAGGTGTATGACGCTGTGTCCACTTGGGGGACATTCCTCACAGTCACACTATGATCAGAGTTTGCAGAGGGTTTGAGAGGGGTTCCTCAGTCTCCCCAGTGCCTACCAATTAAAACCCAAACTCCTCAGCCTGCCTGTACAGGTACCCCATGACTGATCCCCAAAGACCTCACCCTCTACACCCTACTTCCCTCATAGACCCCAAGAGTCCCCCACACCCCAGGACTCAGTGTTCCCATGGCTTTGTTTTTGTCCATGACCTTTTCTTCTGGTTCCCTCCTCTCCTCTCTGTTAGAACGTACCCCTCTTCCACTGCCCATCTACAGTGCCATGAGGCCAACTGCCCAGGGAGAGTGAGTTGAAGGGCAGCCATTCTCCCCCTTCCTGAGATGTTCTGGGTGGAGGGGCATGAGCACGGTCTCTTCAGGCTCCTTCCTCTGTGCACATCCTCCAGGTGGACGCCTGAGAAGGACTCAGTGGTCATGGTCAGAATGAATCACCACCTCTGCTTCTTGGGGATATGCAAGAGGTTGTGGCCCTGGCAGATAGCACAACCCCTTCCTCTCTTTCCTTCTGAGATGGGGCAAGTCTGATGTGGGAGATGGATAGCAGCGTAGTCCTGAAATGGGTCCACAGGAAAGGGCAATACCATGCTAGCACACCCAAAAGTCTAGAGGAAGAGGAAGGGAGGGCTCAGCCCATTTCTGGGACTGAAAGAAAGCCCAGCCTAGCAATGGGCCCAACAATCAAAAGAGGACCCAGGATCAAGGACAGCACCCCAGGTTCAAAGCAGTAAGCTCTCCTGAGAGGGAGGCAATAAGTGCATCATGGGAGGCCAGGCAGCAGCAGCAGGAACATAGTCAGCAAAGAGGCCCCTCAGATAGAGGGGTTCAGGGTCTGGCAGATTTCTAATCTGGGTTCTAGCCTCCCTGGCAAATGGACACTGTGCTATTCACAGGCCTGAAGACAGACCTTGTCCCTGAGGCTGACATGTGTGTATGTGTTTGTGTGTCATGAGGGCTGGGCTGGGGGCTCTGCAGTGGTCCTTTGAAAAGGTGGTTTGGGTGGCCTTTGAGTCTCCCTGCAACACATCCAGCACCTCTGACCTCCCAACTCTTTTCCAGGCTCCATGCTCATCATCACTGGCCTGGCGTACTTCTTACTGAGCAAGCGGAAGAAGAGCAGAGCAGCCTCCCAAGGGCTCCCCTCCCCCGAGCACTACACTGACCCCTCCAGCAGTGCTGTGAGCACCACTGGTTCTGGGGACACTGAGCAAACCTATACTTTCCATGGGGCCTTTAAGGAGGGACGGGGCTCCCTCTTCATCCACATGAAGAGCATCTTGAAGGGCACCAAGAAACCCAGTTCCTGTCAGCCCCCAAACACCCTAATGGAGCTGACCCTGAAGCCCACGGACACACTGGCCAAGAAGAAGCAGGTGCACTTTGAGGAGAATGTGGTGAAGATCATCCCATCACTTGCTGAGGACCTGGATGATGGGGACAGTGATCCAGAAGAGACCACCTCAGACACAACTCCCATCATACCCCCGCCCCAAGTCCCAGTCTTTATGTCTTCACTAACAGCCACAGGTCTCTTCTGACCCACTTGTTCTCCACGGGGTACTGACGAGGAGGCGTCTCCACAGAACAGTGGTCCTGCCTGCAATTCCTAATAGAGAGATCACACCGGAAGCACGGAATCTTCATGGGTTGCCTCTGGAATGGATGGCCAGACATCTCCACCTGGGCTGGGCCTCTACAACATCAGAGGTGTGTCCTTCAGAGGACCCCTGTGAGGCACAAGTGAGACTCTCCTTGCCTCAGGCTAGCACAGGTTCCTCCTTCCTGGCCAAAGAGTATGGAAATGCTTACACTGTTTAGAAAGAAGCCATGACACCCACTTCACACAAGTCTGCAGAGGCCACCTCCTCAGGCGTAGAAGGGACAGTTCAGTTAGGCCTGGTAGGCACCGCTGGGATTCCCTTCACGCACCAAGACCTACTACCATCCATCCCATGTCTGGCGCGGTGTTCCACCTCCGGAAATACATCAGCAATTTAAGCGCCTCAAAGGCAGTTGATACTGAACCACACAGTTCCCAGCTGAGATTGCTCCAGGAGGGGAGGGGAGGTTACAAACCACCCTTGAGTGGTAAGAGCAGAGTCAAGCAGTGGGCAGCAGGAAATGTTTCTGAGACATTCAGGAAACAATGCTGGTCTGTGCGGGAGACGGGAAGGCCAGTCCAGTGAGCTAACTTCATTCTAGAAGTTGCACAGAGGCTCTGTGTTTCCTCATCACAGGGACATTTTCAAGATTCCAAGTAGATGACATAGAGGAGACCAGATTGAAAAGTTACGGTACTAAACATCCAGCTCTGCAAACAGCTCGGAGAAGAGGCTCTGCCATGATTAGGGGCCTAGGAGAAACAGCAGATACATGTTTAGTTTTGTTGGGTTTTTTTCCAAAATGTGAGGGAGGGAGGAAGAAAGCAAGCTGGTAGCCAAGCTCTACCTTGAGACTACAGAGGCGTGGCAGTCAACCCATAATGGAAAAAAGAAAGAAAGAAAGAAAAATGAATCAGATATTCCCAAATAAAGGAAGTTGCGATCGATTTACTTGTAAAAATTTATACTTCGGTTCATGTTTTTGCAAGGCACAACACCTTATTTGTTTCGGACAATCTTACTTAATGAGCCATCTTCAGAAGCAGTCACATGACCTTGTGTGTAAGCAAATACCAGGAAGGCCTAGAGTACATACTTTAAGGTCCAGATAAGAATGCTGTGTTCTTGTAGACTTTTCTATAGGTCTTACAGGTTATCTTGCATGTGGAAAGAACAGCCACCAAAAAAAAGCTAACATCTGGTGGGTGTCTCCACGCAGAAGGTGTTCCAGATAAGCAGAACCCTTTTCTGTAATGACCCAGTTCTTCCCTAAAATCCAGTGAGAAAAGGCAAATAAATGCATCCCTGTAAATCTTTGATTGTGGGAGCAGCAGAGGAGGGTACTCCAGGGCCTCAGAGACCACAGGCAGTGAGATGGAATAATATGCATTATGAGAAGGTGGGAGTGTACCCAGTTCCTAATGGGCCAGGTGTCCTGGACAGGCCCCTCTCTTCACAGAAGGAGCTCAGGTGGGTAAGAACCAAGTGTCTTGCCATCTGTCATGTGAAGAAGGGGAATATAAAGGCTACAGAAACCCTTACAGCAAAGGCATTGTAGGCATCTGGGAACCTGGTGCTCCCGCTGACCAGAATGACTCCATCCTCAGAGTCAGTGCAGCTTGGTGACCTTCTCTCCAGAGATCTATCAGAGCCCATTTGACAAGCACATTTGTAAATCACAGGAGCATTGTTTCCCACGTGTCCTAGAGGTGAGGTGCATGCTGGCAATTCCAGGTGACAAAGTACATGAGGTCCTGATTCTTAGACATCTCGGCTCCTGGTCCCTGTCATCAGTGAAAAGAGAGACACACACCTGGGTGCACCACATTAATGGTGTGAGGAATAACAGAGTGTGAGGAATTTAACTGGTTTGGCAAAGGAGGCCTTTCAAACATTTTTACCAGCTGCTGCCAAATCAACTCCAATTTATGGTGATCCCATGTGTTCAGAGCTGCTCCATAAGTTTTTAAAGCTGTGACCTTTTGAAAATAGATTGCCAGGCCTTTCTTCCAAGGTACTTCTGGGTGAGTTTGAACTGAGTCTTTCAGTTAATTGTCAAATGCCATTTGAGCCACCCAGGGACTCTTCACACCATTTCACTGCTGCCTGGAAAAGGCTTGGATGAGCTCATTAGACAGAGCCTGGCTCTGACCCTGCCAGAGAGCCAGGCTAGAAGAGTACCTTCCTCAGAAGCAGAGAAGCACCTCCCATCTCTATTTTATTCCCAGTCCAGGACCCTAGATAACCATATGCTTCCCCAGTGGCATCCCTGTCAAGCAGGTATGTGATGGTCCTTGTCCTTGCTCACCTGGTTGTGGCCTGCCTCACTTTCACAACAGAAACTAGAGCGGGAAAGAGCACTGGGCCAGAGGCAGGGACCTGGGCTCAGCTCATGGACTGCTCTGTGAGAAAGAAGTACCAGTAAATGGGCAGGGCGGCACTTCTGTCTCAACAACTCAATAAGGCAGAGAGCACTGAGTGCTTTTCAGACTGCAAATCACCAGAGTGTGAGTGAGCATTTCTATTTCCCCAAAATGAGGGAAACACTGAGAAACACTGGCAAGACATATCTGGGCAGGGCCAATTCATTTCCAAAAGCTCTGACACAGTGTTCCACCTCTGAAGGTCCGTCTCTGACACAGCTCCAGACTTTAGGGTTTGAGCACAAACCCCCACACTCCCAACACCACATTCCCTCCCCCGACTTAGATAAAATACCACTCACTACCTATCCCCCTCATCAAGAGAAGGCAGGCTCTGGTGGTCACCCATGTGTCCTCTCTAATTTTTGTTTAATGCTTTCAATGTCTTTATTTTGATATAACTTATATACCATAAAAGTTATTCCTTTAAAGTAAACAGTTGAATGGTTTTTACTATTTTCATTGAGACGTACAACCTCACTCCAATCTAAATTCATCACATTGTAACTAGCTCATCTCCATCAGCAGTTACTCCATGCCCCACTCCCTTCCCTAAGTAGTCACTAATCTTCCTGTCTTAAAAGTTTTACCAATTCTAGTTTTTTATATAAAGGAGCTCTGGTAGCATAGTGGTTATGAATCGGGCTTAAGGTCAGCAGTTCAAAACTACCAGCTGTTCCATCGGAGAAAGATGAGGCTTTCTGCTCCCGTAAAGATTTAAAGCTTTGGAAACCCTGTACAGGGTTGCTGTGAATCGGAACTGACTCCACGGCACATAACAACAACAGTTTTTCATATAAATAGGATGACACAGTACATGGTCTTTTGTGACTACATGTCAATTTTTTTTTTTTAATTATTATTGCATAAAGGTTTATAGACAAGATCATCAACTTTACATTCAACAAATCAAACACTTGATTTTATCTCAATGATTACAATCTCCTCTATGCAATAACAGTTATACCGCTTTCTCCCTGTGGTTCCACCCATTTTCCTATCCCTTCTCAGCTTTGTCATCCGGGAAAAGGCAGCCCTTTTGATTTTGAACGATTGATCATTCCATGGTAAGCACACTTTGCCAGTGCTGTTGCAGGCCCTGCTCCCATTCTAGAAACATATCTATTGCTTAGTTGAAAATTGGGCCACAAGGGTGAGTTCCTTTTCAGAGCTGAAGTGTGGTGGAGGGCCACAGTCTCAGTTGCCTGCAGTCTCTTTCTGACCTGTAGACCCAGCCTCTTTTTTTTCTTAATATTTTTAATTTTGTGCACATTTTTCTCCCACTCTTATCTGGACTCTCTAACAGTTAGTCGTGGTAGCCGGGCACCATTTAGTTCTTCTGGTTTCAGAGTGGTGGAGACTGAATGTGTTCACATGTTCCATTAGTCCATTAGACTATTTAAATATAAACCTCTTCAATTCTTATCACTCGTCTTTCTTCTGCAGAAACAAATAGCTGAACCTTAGAGGGCCACTCAGGAGCTTTCGAGATCCCAGACGCTGCTCACCCAAGCAGGATGTAGAACATTGTCTTTGTGGACTATGCTGTGCCAATTAACCCTGTGACTCCATGGCCCAGAGCCCCTGGCCCATCAACTCATTGCCTTAAAATGTTTGATAATATCTAGGGAGTTTTCATCCTTTTGCCTGTTGTATGTTCCACCTCATTCATAGTTGTGCTTGCAGGAAGGGTAAATACCCATGTACAAATATCCTCTTTTGAAGTCTCTTTATTTGTGGGATATATAAATATGTCTTGATGTGGTACTGTGGGTTAATGTGCTGAACTGCAAAGTCAGTTTGATCTGCAAGGTTGGTGGTTCAAGCTCACCGCTGCTCCTCGGAAATGCTATAAAGGGTAGCTATGGGTTGGAACCAACTCGACAGCACTTAACAACAACACACTCACACACACATATACACACATATATATCCCAGAGTTCTAGTGTAGCACTGTGGGCTTCAACAAAGTCAGTTTGAACCTCAGGGTCAGCAGTTCAAGCTCACCTTGGAAACCTTATACCGGGTCTCTATGGGTCCGGATCGACTCGATGGCACTTAACAACAACAATAACATATATATATCCCGCTCTTCTTCCCTTACCCATTCAACCTATGTCTCAATCCATGTATCTACACACAGGACAGTGGTGTTTCAAGGTTGTGTCTTTATCTTTATTTACCTCTGTCCCCTTTACCCCATGCATACCTTCCTGCGTCTTTACCTATCTTTACTGAGGTTGTTTCTACCATGCAACTATTATGAATAATACTGCTATGAATATTCACATACAAGTTTTTGGGTGGATATATGTTTGCATCTCTCTTAGATATTTTCCTAGGAGTTTAAATGCTGGACCACATGTTAACTCTACATTGCAAAATATGCAAAGGGATGTACCACTTCATATTCCCAACATGAGTGACAGTTGTGTGTCTGTCTTCTTTATCATTGTCATCCGACCCTCCATTGTGGTCAAGTTGATTCCAACCCCTAATGATCCTATGAAACAG